ATTCTGATTCTAAGATTTCTTGTATTTCTCGTCTTGTCGGGATATCTCCGCGTGTCATGCTTTTTGTTTTTCCGTTTTTCCTCATATAAGTGGACGTTTTCCTACTGGGTGTAGTTCTTTAATTCGAATGAATTATTTTAAAACACTAAGGTTCCAAATCATTGTTCTTATACTTTTTCCAATATTTGTCTGCGCCTTTCAATTATATACTATTCTTTCCCTTATCTTTCTATTTTTAGAGTCATGTCTGACCCTATTGATCAACTTTTTGATTCTCATATTGTTCGTAATCAGTCTTATGACCTCCTAATTACTATGTTTCTTTATAAGATTTTTCTTAATATTCACGAGTTGTACTTAGTTTTTCTTAATTCCCTTTCTCCTGATAAGGTTCGTCCTTATCCTTCTGATTTCTTCCTTTACTTTTCTTGCGGTGATTATGACCTTCTCTCTTTTCTTGATTTTGGTCGTTCTCGGGATACTTATACTTTTCTTGAGAACCGTTCTTCTTCTCTTGAAGATTTTATCTTCTTTCTTTACGAAAGAAGTAATAAGAAGGCTTTTTCTTTAGTTTATAAGCGCTTCCATATTCATTACAGTACTCTTAACGGTACTTCTTTTCAATGGGATAAAGACTTTTTCAATCCTGATTATAAGTTCAGTCGAACTATTAATCAGACTATCCGTGTTGCTTCGGTCCTTAATTGGGATGGTTAAGGAAAGGATACTATTTCTCTTGACGACCTTAATTCCGGTCTTAGCGGTCTTTCTTTTAATGATGTTTCTTCAGGTAAGGGTAGTTTGTTGGTTTTTCACGCACTACCGGACGGAGTAGTTAGATTTCTCTAACTTTCACTGGTCGGTAGTGCATGACGATCGAATATTTCTAACCCTAATATTTTTGTTTTATTTAGATGGTTGTAATTCTGAAGATAATCCTTTCGAATCTTTTAATCCGGAATATGATTCCTTTGATGTTTATCGTTCTCAAGGGGAAAGAGAAGATCGTGTCAATACTCAATTTTATTCTGATAGTTCTTCTGATTATGGTGTTGATGATGTTGATTGTTGTTATAGTGATTATGATGATCATTACTTTGATAATTGATTGTATTATTATTATTTTTATTGTTTTAATAAAGAATCATCTTTTTTCATCTGTTTTTGGTTTTCTTTTTCTTTTTTAAGTTGTTCTAACTCTTCTGAAGTTCCTCGTGATAAGAAGTCTGCGGCAAAATTCTTTGCTCCTTCTATTCTATATATTTCATAGTCATATTCTTGTATTTTTATAAGCCACCCATCTATTGTTCTATTGGTGCATCGTCCTTTTGCACTTGCTGTAATTCCGGTCGCGTCTGAGTATATATGTATTTTTTGTGTTTCTATATAATGTCACCATTGTTCTAGGAAATGTACTATCGCATACATTTCTTTTTGTGTTGTTGACCACTTTTTCTGTGTTTTTGACAACATGGTTGATCCTATTTCTATTATTCGTATGTTTCCTGATGGTCGTTTGCTATAGTCTTTCACAGCCAATATTTGTTCTCTTAGTAAATCTTTTCTTCTGATTTCATCTTTGATCTTCCAATGATCTCGTGATTTGTCTCCTATTTGGTATAATATTGCTCCAACAGCTTTGTCGGATGCGTCTGTTTCCATGAAGAATGGTTGGTGTGGATCTGGATATGATAGTTCCAGTACTCGTTTTATCTCTTTTTTTAGTGTATCCATTGCTTTTTGACATTCTGGTGTCCAGTCAAAATCTTTATTTCCTACTCTTTCATAGAGTGGTGATGCAATTTTTGCAAAGTCTAGTATAAAGGATCTGAAGTAATTCATAAATCCTAGAAATCGTTGTAACGATTGTTTATCTTTTGGTACTTCAAATTTATCTACATTTCCTATTTTTAGTACATTTTTCCCAATTTTTCTATGTGATACTTCGCAGTTTAATATAATTGTTTTCTGTACTAGGAATTCGCATTTTGATGGCTTTATCTTTAGGCACGCTTTTTTTAAGCATTCTAACGTCCTCGTTAGTTTTTCGCATGCTTCTTCTTTTGAGTTTAACATTATTACTATATCATCCATATATACTATTACGAATGGTAAATGTCCTAGTATTTTATTCATTGCTCTTATTAAGTATGCTGGTGCAGTTTGTATTCCAAATGGCATTCCCTTCCAACAGTATGTTCCGAAATCTGCAAATTCTGTTGCGGTGTATTTTTTTGAATCCTCATGTACTAGTATTTGCCAGTATGCGGATTTAATATCCATTGTTATATAATATTTGTACATTGATATTTTCTGTAGCATTTGCTTTGTGTCTGGTAGTGGTTCTCTTAGCGTTAGTAGGAATGTATTTAATATTCTATAGTCTATTGCAATTTTCTTTGTTCCATCTTTCTTTTCTATTATCACACATGGACTTCTCCAGTCAGTATCTCCACTAAATATTATTCCGTTTTTTAATAAGTCATCTCTCATCTTTCTTATTATTTCTAATTCTTCTTGAGAATATTTTCATTTCTTTTGTGCTTTCACATTCCATGGTATTTTTGATTCATCTACTCCTTCTTTTAATATTATTTTAACTGGTTCTATGATTTTTGGATCTACATGGGTTGCATATTCATCTTTTTCGCGAAAAGTATCTACGTATTTGGTTAATACGGGTCCTAATAATTCCCATACTCCTGGTCCTTCAGTTTGAAGACAGCGTTCTTCAAGGATTTTTACTCGCTTCTTTTCATCTTCAACAGTTTGGTTGAAGTTTGGTAAATTCTGTAGAAAAATTGTATCATTTTTCTGGACAGAATTTTTCATTTTTTCATAATCGTTTTTTATAAAATTTTTAATTTTAATTTTTTCACCATTTGCTATTTTTTGTCCTTTTCTTATTTCAAATTTTTTATTTGAAATATTCATTATCATTATTTGGTCATCATTTGCTATTCCTGGTTGGACTATTATTGCTTCTTTTGCCAT